ATTTTGTCTTCGAAAAACATGTTCAGTTGTATCTCTGAAATGATTGTTAATGAAGAAAAACAATTTGGATTGGGCAGTGATGTGCTGTTGATCGCCTTGTTCTGTTGTTGTTCTATGGATTTGTAATTCTGAAATAAAAGATGAATGAATGAATGAATAATGTGCTGCTTCTTAAACTAAATATACAACATTTCAGAAAAATCTATGTGGAATATTAAGTTTGGTGAATATTTCATGAGATATAAAACAGAATTAGAGAAGGGTTTCAGGGACTGGGATGCAAATATTTTTAATAATGCTGATGATTTGTGGAATTCATGGAAAAACATTGTTATCAAATCTGCTGAAGGTATTGGAAAAAAAAATATTCGTGTATTGGAGGAAAGAATAAACCATGGTTTGATAAAGAAGTTGCAAGTACAATTAAATAGAAAAAAGCAGCCCAAATTCATAGGAAATATATATCTGGAAATGAGGGTGGATAAGTCTATTGTTATTGCAAATAAGGGAGGCCCTTGTTGTAAAGAATTTTGGCAATCACTTAGAGGGTCAAAATTTAACCAACATAATAATACAAATTGTTTTAAGGTTCCAGGGTCAGAAGTTATTGTATCTGGAGTTAGAGAAAGGAATGAGACCCTAAGAAATTATTGGGAATCGCTAGGTAGGCCAAAGAATAATGTTTTTAATAGCAATATGCGTATAACTGAAAAAATTGGTAAAATATTAGGAATACTACTACAGATGAAGAAAATTGTATTTAAAAGATGCTTTAAGCCTTGCAAAAAATGGTAAATCGCCAGGAGAGGATTGCATCACTAATGAGCTACTAAAAAATGGTGGACCAAATATGAAACACTCTCTGTTAGAAATGTTCGAACGAATTATTTATTTGGAAACTCCTCCATGTGATTGGAATATAAGCTTTAAGCAAGGTGACAAGAAAGATCTTAACAATTATCGTGGGATTTTTCTCACATCATGTGTTTCTAAATTTTTTAATAGAATCATTGCAATGAACGTATCAAATCACCTTGAAGAGGATAATGTCCTTTCAGGGGGGTTTCAGGAAAGACGAAAGACCGAAGGTGCGAAGACCATGTATTTGTGGTAAAAAACATCGCCGCTTGTAGACGAAGAGAAGGGGAAAAACACATACCTGGCTTTCCTGGACTTCTGAAAGGCATTTGACTCAGTATGGAGGGCAGGGCTCTTGAAGGCTATCTGGGATATTGGAATTAGGGGACGTTTATGGAGAATGATTGATAATATGTAGGCCTACTCTAATATTAAAGGCAAAGTAAAATTTGGGGAAATTTTAACAGGAGAATTCCCTATTGAGCAGGATGTCAGACAGGGATGTGTCCTGTCTCCTATTCTCTTCTGCATATTTATCAATGAGTTCACAAAAAATTAATAATATTGGTGTTCATATGAATACTATTTGGGTCGGAGCTCTTTTTTGGGCAGATGATATTATTTTAATCGCTGAAAATGAATGACAAATGACCCAAATGCTAGATTTAGCAGCTAAATTTGCTGCTGACAGGAATTTAAGTTTTTATATTTGTTACTTTTAAAAATTTGGAGGGGGCGGCTGGCATCTCCCTCGAATTTTCCACTGCATTTTCCCAGTGGCGAAACTAGATTCCGATTGGCCCTTTTCGAGAGTACAGTCACACATAGGTTAAGAATGCTATATCTAGAAAACTAATGACCAAATCACAATTAGTTTTTTTTTAATAATATGAAAGAGAGTGTATTGCGAAAATAATAGAAAAATAAATTGTTTAAAATTTCTTATTTCCATAATTTATATGAAATGAGATGCTTATTCCTCAATGAATAAATAAAGTGCAAGAAACATGAACACATTATATAAAGTAATATAAATAACAATTACTATAAGTCTATTATATTTATACAAGTTGACGGATGTTCAAACACCTATAAAAAAGATTCTAAATTCAAGAACACTTTATTGTCCATTTGAAAGTAGGAATTTGTTTTTCCTAAATTTCTTATTTTCATTATTATATGAAATGAGATGCATATTTCTCAATGAATAAATAAAGTGCAAGAAACACGAACACATTATATAATGTAAAATGAATAACAATTACTGTAAGTCTATTATATTTATACAAGTTGACGGATGTTCAAATACCTATAAAAAAGATTCTAGATTCAAGAACAATTTATTGTCCATTTTAAAGTAGGAATTTGTTTTTCATTTGGTTAAAAAGGTTAAAATTAGATGAAAAATCACAAGACAACTTGGCAATGACGAGAAATATGTTAAGATATATTAACAAGTTAAAATAGTGAAGAAGTAAAAAGTCAAAATAAAAATCACTGTTTAAAATTTACTATGTGTGCTCAGAAACAGGCCAGCCATTTTAGTAAAGATTAAAACTATAAAAACCTAGCATTTTGCTATAAAATGATGAAAGTATGCTAATTATTATAAAACATGTATCTGGTATTTCATATCAACAATATAACAAATATTTTTCCTAATAAAATTTAGGGGGTGCGATCGTCTGCACACACCCCCACCCTCTCCTCCCCCCAAACATCTGCGCAGCCAGCGATTTGTTTAATTAACGTAGGATAGTTTGGTGAAAGCTCATGAAATATTCATAATCATCCTTATAGAACATATTTTTCGCATGCGCTATTTTCAAGCCTATGTCAGCCTCACTGATCAGCTGCGCTGGGCTTCGTCGCGAGGGACCTACTGTTCGATTAAAAAAAATAAATAAATAAATAAAATTTGATTTTTGGCGAACTTAGCAGATACAATTGATTGCGGCTGGTCGGATGTGGCAGGGGGTGGTGGTTGGGGTTAGGAAAAATTGTATTAGGAAAAATATTTGTTTATTGTTGATTATGAATTACCGGTCAGATTTTTAAAGGTACGAGAGTGCAATTTCTGGACACCTAGAGGTATATTCTCATATTCCCAAAATAATGACAGTATGCTAATTAAATAAAGCATGTGTTATATAGGCCTATACACAGGGTACATTATGCTTATTCCTCCATGAATAAAGTGCAGAAAACAAGAACATAATTACCATATGTTAATATATAATGCAATGAATAACAAGGAATGTGCACCTATATTGTACGAGTTGACGGATATTGTGAAATACACATAAAAAATGTGGCCTAAATTAAACATGTGTTAAGAATACACAGGGTACAATATGCTATGCATTATTTAGTAAATCAATTGAATGGCTTTTGAATTAACAAGGTGAATACGTTAGATTTTTAAATAACAGACTGCTGGTATATTATCAGGAAACAAACTTTTGGTTTATTAATGGCAGGAGGACCATGTATGGTATTCCCATCATTATAGACAGATCTAGCAGGTGATAAATACGCAATAGAGCATTAAGAATCAGGGGAATCAACTTCAGGTGGAGGGTCAATATTAGAATAATCTACTGTATGTTTCTACAGGGTTCAACGGCTCCTGTCAGGGTGGTAGGACACACGCCAGGGAAAATCAGCAATACTGATAGATATACTTATTAATCAAATAAACTAATCGAATTCCAATTTTTTTAATTAAAACAATCCCTACTATGACATGGCCCATGGTGACAAATATAAAGGATAAAGCATGAATGGGTAATTGATATATTTAGTACAAGTATGAATGATTGACGTAATAGAATAGTGCGTGTTTTGAGCTACAAGGACAAAACTAATAAAAACAAGTCATATTAATGCAATGGTGATTGTGTATATTTGGCCGGACCAATAAAAATAGCTTCCGATGCACCATGCACTGGCCATTTCGATGATAGGTTGACCCCACTAAGATCTAAAATTAAATCTGTTACCAACCTATGGTGTAAATGATATAAAACGTACTTTTTCACGTCCCTAACAACACACAAAATGAATGGATATTTAAATAGAGTTTTTACCAATTATTGGTTTCCCATAAAACATGGCACCAAAATTCTTTTTTTTTTTAGCATCTCGCTTCGCTGACAAGTGCACCAAGTTCTGGGACACCTCATTTCCCATTGGCATATCTTGGCTCCACCATTTTTGGTGATGATTTTACACAAGGAAGAACTAAAATCATCGATAAAATAAACATGAAATAGTGAAAAACTAAGTGTCTTTTTTTGACAAAATATTGAATCAATCTTATGGTTGCAATAATTAAAATGAATTTAATGACCTAATAATGTACTGTGTAAGTACAACTAAAATAAAATTTGAAGTTGCCACAACATTTTTTAGCAGCCAGCAAGCGTATTTTACAGTAGCCACAAAGTATAACAGGTCGTTTGCAGCTCAGAGATTATCATTGGTCCGTAAGATCAAATCTAAAATGAATTTTGCCCTTCAAATAAACTAATTAGGGCAACTAGACCCTTCAAAATTAACCTTACTCTAGAAATGGGCCCCATTCACAATCATCCATATTAACATTTACAAGAAATGAAGCTGCAAAATGATTGTCAAGTTGGGGCCCTGTCACAAAAAAAAAGCTTACATTTTCACATTTTGCTTAAAGAAACACTTAAAATTAAAAAAAAAAGTATAATGTATGTAGTAAAATGAGGCATGATGCAAAAAATGTACTTTTAAAAATTCAATTCTAAGGCCCCTCCGGCAGATATCTGGATCCTCCCCCAGTACTCCTACAGTGCCAAAATGCCGAAGGTGACCTTTTTGCAAGTTCGTATATTTAATGATATTCTCACTCACCGCATTAAACCTAATTAAAACAAACAGGCATATGTTGTTTTTATAGATTCATCTCCTAAAATTGGTTAACAAATCAATTCAATGCTTTTCTTATTACAAATGTGTAAACCAGGGGGGGGGGGGGGGTCTAAGCAAATTCATAGGTCCATCCATCAACCAACCAATCGATCAATTAGCCATAGGCCTACAATTAAAAACAATGTTTACTTTTTTTTTGCAGGCAACCATATCTTTCCTCATTAGAAACGTACGTCATTATGGGAGTGCCAAGACTTAAAAAGTTTATCAAAGAGAATAGCGAATACCTAAGCAGAGATTTAACACTAAATTTGCCTAATACAATAATAATTGATGGTACCAACGTGCTCTATGAAATTTACCACAAGAAAGGACTACAAAACGATAGCGAAAACTTAGAGAAGTTGCACGACTTTGTCAGCACAATTAAAAAATATGTAAAGCCTATTTTTATCTTTGATGGCGGTCATGCTAATGACCAAAAGTTTCCAACTATGATAGAACGTCGCAAGAACACTTTGCAAAAGAAAGAATGTATTTTTCTCAGCGACAATTGGATAAAAATACTTAAAGAATTGGATGAAATTCAAATAGCTCGGTGTGACTTTGAAGCAGACCATGAAATCGCAAAAATAGCAAGTGCGTACGAGTGCCCAGTACTATCGGGAGACAGTGATTTTTATCTTATGGATCTTAAACATGGATTCATTCTTTATGATGATTTTAAATGGGAAGAAGCGAAAAATGGAATCAAATGTAAATTATACCATCGTGAATTTTGGGAAAAAATGGGTGTTAAAGAAGAATGTGTTCCGTACTTGGCAGCATTTGCTGGAAATGACATTATTAAACCCCAAAAACCAGGAAAGGTAGAGGATATCGTCCCTTTCCTAAAAAAGAACTCATTGGATGAAGTTCTCAAATATGTCGGTGCAAAATTGAAGCCTTTAATATCATCATGCTATAGTTTACCTGAAACCTCATTAGTCGTTGAATACCTTAGAACACCGGACAACAGGCCTATAAGTCAATTAAGTTCTCATTTTCCTGATTGGTTTATTGAACTTTACCGAAAATGTGAAGTAGGTAAATATGTTGTGGATGTCGTTTTGCATAAGCGACGATTTTTGGGCCACAATGTGGGTTACACAGATACGTCTTTGCGTTTACGCCAAATGCAATATGGTATTCTCATAAATGACAGTAAGTCTACCATAACAGAGTATCAGCCTTATGTGGCCTTGGGAGATATGGCAAGTGAGCTTAAAGAAAAGAATGTAAAACCCATCACACAGTTGCAATTAAGAAATATTCCAAATTTAAAGATGATTACTGGGATGGATTTAGAACATCGTAAGGATTTGTTTTACTGTTTCCTTGAAATCGAGCAAAGTGTGTGTGAAGATAAAATAGATCTGTTCCACCTCCCAATCGCAGCCTTGGCATTTTGGTGGAGAAATAACCAATTTACTCCAGTACAGTCTAAAGAAAGAAAGATATCCAAGAATCACAAACATGAATTTTCACAGTGGATGGCTATACTGAAACATACGATCTATTTAAACCAACTGTTGAAATTTCCAATCACCAAGTGCGACGTCACTGTTATTACAAGCAAAGTTTTTAGTAAGTTGTTCGAAGAAAATAAGAAACAACGTTCACAAGGAGAAAATTCTGCAGGCCTATCTGAACAAGAAGAGTTGTACAATGCCCTGGAATTATTCATTGATCAATTATATCAATCCTAGAATGAGTCACTAATAATTTTTATTAGAAATCTGGGTGTTAAATTATTATCACATTTGACCGGCACATAGGTTAATTTTGCAAGTCAGCCAATTACTACGGTACCTTACCCACTGAGATTTATTTGCAGAGCACAGACCACGAGAGAATAATGAGGGACAAATTACAAGGTATGATGGTTGGAAAGCAATATTTAAATGTATTTTATTGGTATGTATTATTGTATTAAAAATAATAATTGGTGGTGTAATTACATAACATGGCATAACAAATTTATCAAACAATCAGAACTTAAACAGTTTGTCAATGATAAATTACAAACCTATAGTTGTTAAAGATCGTTTCACTCCTTGGATGAGCCCAGATATAATACAACTTATGTATGAAAGAGACCATGAAAAGCATCTTTCTGATAAATATGGGAGTGATATCCATTTGAATAAATATCATAAACTACGTAACTTAGTGCCTGTTTCTGCTGAGCAAATAAACATGTGTTTTTAAATGGTTATTAAAAAACATGTGTTTTTTCCCCAGCAGAAACATGTCACAAAACAAAAACAGTGTTAAGGCCTGTTTATACTTCAACGATAACGATAACGAAGCTAAAAAGCAATTGTTCATATAGAAAATAAAAGAAATAAGAGAAGTTTTTACACTAGAACGATTCGATAACCATTTATCAGTTATGCGATAACAACATATTTTGATAAATCAAATCAGAGGACGTCATAATCATGAGAAAACTTTAAAATTGTCGTAGTAGCAACGATTTTATCGTTTGTCCATGATTATGACATCATCTAATTGGATTTGTTAAAATATTTTGTTATTGCATATACGATAAATTGTTATAGAATCGTCCTAGTGTAAAAACTTTTCTCATTCCTTTTGTTTTCTATATGAACAATCGCTTTTTACCATTTTTATCATTATCGTTGAAGTGTACTGTAAACAGGCCTTTAGTCATGACCCGTCAGCGACCCAAACTGATCTCTTCGTTGGTTTGATCGCTCGTCCGCGGGAAGTTCGGGGCAAAAAAAAAAAAATTAAACCAATAGGATGACATGCTTGAAGATCATACCATACTTTTTTCATACTTTCGTGGCGACCGTCATTTAAGCTATGCCCACCTGCCAAAGCTCGCGCATTACCGTGTTTTTATTAGTTGTACTTTTCACTAGAAACGCGTTCAGAAGGAATTTAACCGTTTATAAAAAACGTGTTTTAGGCGTTATTCAGCTGAAACACGCCCTTGGTAAACAAGCAAAATTCGGAAAGCAAAAATCAAATTACTTTGATAATGTTGAAAACAACAAAAAATAACTCTAAAAAATTATGAGAGGAACTAGGCAGAACTATAGGTAAGGATTAGAAATAGTGTCCACCCTGACCTAAATTGTGAAAGCTTTAATAATTTTTTTCTCAAATATTGGAGAGGAAATTTCTAAATCTTTTGAAAGTATTACTACCCCTGAATGGAAACATCCTTTATTTATCCACAAATTAAATTTTAACATGGTAACATTTGAAAATATAGAAAACGCCCTTTCAGGTCTGTCCGAAAGCAGTTATTTGGATATTCTGAATTTTGATTCAAAATTGCTTAGGTTTGCCTCCCAATTATTGCAAAATCTCTTTCCTCTATAATAAATTTGTCTATTAGTCTGGGTATTGTTCCTGAGGATTGGAAACTTGCAAAAACAACACCTACTGTATCAATAAAGGGAGTAGATGTAAGCAAACAATGACTAACTATAAACCCATCTCCGTGGTTTGCCATATTTCTTGTTGAAAGAGAAGTACAAAATCAATTAGTTAGTTACCTAAACGAAAATGATCTCACAAGTTGTAGATCAATATGCCTTCAGAAAATACCACTCTACCATCACTTGCCTTCATCGAGTTATTGATGAATGGATGGAAACTTTGAATGAATATGAAATGATTGGAGCCTGTTTTCTTGACATATCTAAATACTTTGACTCCATTGATCATACTCTTCGCCTAACTAAATTAGAAAATTGTGGCATTAAAGATACTGAAATCAAATGGTTTAAAAGTTTCACAGTGCAAACAAGTAGTCAAATGTCATAATAAACTATCTGAAAAAGCAAATGTTGAAGTTGGCATCCCACAGGGTAGTGATGTTAGGACCAATCTTATTTTCATTATTCATAAATGACCTTCCACAATATGTATCTCCAGGATCATGTAGCATATATGCGGATGATGTTGTCATCTACACTACTGACAAATCAGTAGAAGATATCAATATCAAATTACAATCAATAATGAATAATGTCGCTAATTGGTATAAATTTAACAAATTACTTGTAAATTCTAGCAAAACCAAACTTATGTTAATTAAAAGTAGAAATGTTTGCCATTTTTCCTATTTGAATATTTATGTTGGTAAAATGAAACCATTGATGAGGTAAAAAACATCCGTTATTTAGGACTTCAAATTGATGAAAACCTCACCTGGAATAACCATATTCAAAAATTAAATAAAACTATTGGGTACAAAATTAACATCCTAAATTAATGGGCAGAAACACTAAATGAATCGCTTCTACATATTCTTAATATATAAGTATAATACAACCCTGTATGGACTATGCAATTTCATTGTGGGGAACTACGTTTAACAAAAACATTAAGGCTACAAAAACGAGCTGCTAGAATAGTTAAAAATAATTTTGATTTTATAAATTTTTGTGGAATTGATCTTATTAAGCAAAATAATTGGAAACTTTTTAAAGAACATAGAGATTACGCCCTTGCATATTTAATGTACAAATGTATAAATGGTATTGCACCTTCCCGCTTATGTAATGATATAGAAATTGTTGTTGACCGACATGGATATTCTATGACATACGCTCAATCACTTAACATTATCCCACCAATTCGAAATTGCTCTGTAATCAATGGCTCTTTAAAAATCTCTGGAACAAAATCCCAATCAAAATTCAAGAATTTCAATCTCTTAATTTATTCAAAATTACTTATAAGAAACACTTTTTCTGATTATCACAATTAATTTCCTTTTATATTTTCTTGCTCTATATTGTTAACATTTAATCCCAGCCCCGAAACTTGGACTCAGAAGTACTGGGATGGTGTCCGGCGGGGGATAGTTTTTACCATTGTTTAGTTAGGTTGTTTAGTGTTTTAGTAAGTATTTGTTTTATCGCAATTGTCGATGAATTTGTCGAAGTTGTCCTCATTCTGTTAGTAAAAATAGTCTAGTGATATTATGTCAACGAAAAGCAGTCTGTTTATATAAAGTTTATCCCCACCATCCAAGGAAAAGATTGGATTCCACCTAATAAAAAGAAAAATCCGGAGAGTAGGCCTAGGGCCTCTGGTAGCAACTGATTTCGACTTTGCTGATGACATAGTGCTCCTCTCTTAAAAAATACACGAGGCACAAGAACAACTTCTAAGAGTAGAAACTTCAGTAGTCAAAGTACGATTGAGAATAAATACAAAGAAAACAAAGCTGAGGCCTTACAAAAATGAACAGGTTAACATTAGAACAGAATGTTACAGAACTAGAGGAAGCAAAGAATTTCAAATACCTAGGGGTATGGATGTTAAGCACAGAAAATGATACTGAACACCGTAAAGCAGCAGCTTGGTGAGCTTGTACTAAGTTAACAAAAATCTGGAAGTCAAGTCTACAAAAAGGTTTAAAATTCCACATATTTACTGCTACTGTAGAATCTGTACTCCTTTATGGATGTGAGGAATGGAGAGTCACCCCAATTCTGGCCAAAAGAACCAGAGGGCTGCTAAACCCGCTTACTGAGAACTGTCCTCAGTGTTCACTGGCAACAACACTAACACACTCTGAATTATATGGGCAATGAATAAGTACTAAGATAAGAACAGGATTCGCTGGTCATTGTCCCAGAAGTGAGGAGCCTGCATCCAATGTTATACATTGGGCCCCTAAACACAAAAAAATAAAACCTGGAAGAACTACAATTACTGTATATCATACCTAGATATTCTTAAAGCAGACACTGGGCTGTGAAACAAGACCTCAAAAAAGCAATGGGGGGACAGATACCTATGGAAAGTCATTGTAGTTTGGTTACACAAGGTAGTTTACTAAAAATAAAAATTTGTTATTAAGTGCAGTGACCAATTCAACTGTACATTAGTTCGTTGTACCCTTTGGTAAAGCTATAGGGTCTCCTCAATGAATACATTAGTGTGTTACACCAATTGCTTAAGAAAAATATTACCACAACCTAGTTATTGTAGTGTAAGTGCACTTTTTATAAATAATTATTATCTATCATTTCAAGAATTTATGAGGAAGTTCATAGTTTTTCATAAAGGATTTTGTGTTAGGGAACACTGAAATTATTTCACTGTTTCCTGGTTTCAATGAATATTTCTTTAAAGATTGTTGTTTATTTAAAAATGGAGAACGGTTATTGATGTTCCATAGCTCACAAACTGTTATAGCATTTTCCCCTTTCATTAGCCTGCTATGAACTTACATTATGCATATATGTTTCTATGGATATTTATTCTAAAGTAAAGAGAGAAATTAATAACAAAAATAATGTTAAAAATATACACTTTTTAAAATGAACCAGTAATATTTTACCCGGACTTATTTTTTTGCCAATTTTGGGCGCAAAATGTTGTGTTATAGATGTTCTTCGTAATCCAATCCTGTTCATTTTATCTTTCTTAATGTTATCTCTTTACTCGATTTATAAACTCAATTTTTAATATACTTTGGTGTCAATTGTTCAACTATATTCGTTGCATTTATTAATTTCTTGATCTTGATAAATTTCACTTTTTTTTATTATTATTATTATTTATAAATGTTTCTAAAATATATAATTTTTTTTTTGGATTTTTTTAAAATAATTTGTAAATTGTAACCATTTGTTTTTTTGGAATAAACCTTGAATTGAAGATATATTGTATTTAGTTTAAACACTCCGCAAAAAAAAAAAGGAAAAGAAAAATTATTATTTTACAACAGTATATTACTGTACTGTATTATAGAGGGTATTACATTGTAAAAACATTACATTGTAAACATTATTACTTTACCATTTGTGACTAGCTTAATTTGTTAGTTTTTAGTTTAGTTTTACTTATACTGTAATAAAGACACATTTACATGCCTCAGGGTCAATCTGTTCTTGTTTTTTCTTTTTTTTAAAGCACATTTAGCATTGGTGTTCTTATTAAAAGCAAGGTTTAAATGACTTTTTGTCAAAAAACGGTTTTGTTTTATTACTGTTTTATTAGATAAGAATGGTTAGTAATCTGTGCTTCTAATGTGATCCAAAATTTTGCTATGAGGAAGGTCAAAATGTTTCTAATAGCTGTAATTTCACTGTTCCTTGGCTGGAACCAAGGCTATGATGAATGCCATGCCATACTAGTCCAAAATTTAAATAGGCCTTGGTAGTCAAGACATTGTGTACATTAATGGATTTGTATTAAATTAATTGTAATATGACAGTGTGTTTTTGCAGTATCCCTATTTTAGCATTAGTTCCATTCTACCACATACCATTGTTTATACTAATTGCATTTGCAGACTACATTTTCCATCAAACTGCCCAATGACCACTAACCACAAGGTTGCCCAATTGGTATATTACCCTGATGAGGGAGGATGCCTCATCACTACCATATTCATACCACCTCAAGTAAATAGCTCATCTCATGTTAAGGGATTAATAGAGGGTGCATTAATACCCCAATCAAGGGTGTCTGTTAAACAGACAGTTTGTTTGGTAAATCAGGCAGTTTTTCATAAGTGTGTTTCATTACTGCTGCAAACTCCAATGGAGCAAGACAGTAATCACATCTCTGAAGTTTTGTCATTCTGAAAGGGTATGTAGTTTTAAGTTTATATTGTTTAGTTTGATAAGTTCACTATATAAAATATGTTAGTGTTTACCATATATTAGTTTATACTTGGTAATATTTTTAAGAGGTTTAAAGTGAAAGACTTTGCTGACTACTTGGCAAATTTAACAAAACTATTTTTTTGTATACAATGCTGAACTTAAATTAACTGTTTCGCATAAGTTTGTGAATGATTTGCATTTTAATTATCAGATGTTTGACTTTTGAGATGCATGTAGTTTATAATGCACTTTATGTAGTTTATAGATACTGTACAAAGATAATAGGCATGGTTGGACCACCTACTGTAGCTTGACCATGAAGTAGATGATGACTCATACTAATTACATGATAGTTATATTTTAACTCTTGGTGGCGCTATACTATAAACAAACAATTCAAGATGGCTGCGCCCATGGAATGTAATCCAAGATGGCGGCGCCTATGTTATAGGCCTATATTAATAGTAAATCAACAATTATATTTTAATTTAAATGCATTTCAATCACGAGTGAATTGGTTACATGAGTTAATACGATTGTTTTAATAGTAGAGAATAATGTGTTAATGAGATTAATAATGCTGCTATTACTTATAATCTTATTGTTCTTATTATCAGAGTTAACTAATTAAATTTGTTAAGTGAATCATTGTATGATGTGCCAATACAGAAATTGCATTTTATGATAACTATTAATTATGAATTCATTACATTTAATATTTTACTTTGTCCATTGTTAGCAAATATTTTGTATTGCCATTGCAGTTATTCAGATTGTAATATCGTACAGTAGCATACCGTACATTGATTGGTCATTGGTGACTATAGTCAACTTGCCCGGTGTTTGCTAGGGGTGAGTCGATTAGATAAATTATAATATGATATATCTGATGAACATTTATTATTTCCATTTGGTGATTGTTATATTACTTTGTGAATTGCCTATAAGTGTTATTACTTTAGTGCTATGATTACTCTTTACTGTGTAATACTGTATGCATTATGATAGTAAATGATTTCCTAATTAATTTTAATGTTACTTTTATATACTTATTTAGTTTGTTTATTATATCAAGTCTTCTATGATCTTATTAATTGATTGATGTTAAATAATTTGTTATTTCACATGTGAAGCTACCTGCTCCTGTGTTATTAATACAAACTTATTTGTTCATTGTTTTAGGGTTTTGAGGTTTAGTTTTGTTTCGCTTTGCCTTTTGTTTCGGATACTTACTCCACAGAAATAAAGAACCTAAAGAATGCTACTCAGTCGTGAAGTGTGTTCTTATTAAGCGTCACAGTAATAATACCTATGACTATAGACACAGTCTGGAGAAAATCCGCATTTAAAAATGAAAAATTGATATTCGTAGATATATTTACAATGTTCTCCAGAGTATCAGAGATCCTACAAGCCAGAAGTATTTCATGTCGGCATTTCTTAAGCTTTCTCAGCTAACAATATTATGTTAATGTATAATGGTTTCCAAAGGGTCCACTTTCCACTGAAACGAGCCTCCCACAAATGAAGGCACGCTACAGGCAGGTAGACAGCCTTTAATAAACAGTACGTCGTGTATATAGTCAGTGTATAGAATATTGTCAGTATTGGTAAAAATGTTTATAATTGTCTTTAAACATTTATATCCTTCAGAATCAGCAGTATGTATGCTATATAATTATATACTACTACTAAAATAACCAACCAGACTCAATGCTGCTTTTTTATGCTTTTGAAAACCATGCTGTACATAAACACTGTCTAAGCATGGGGATATCATTAATACAATAGTCCATTAATTTTCACTGTGTCAACTACTGAAGAGATTTGGCCTATATATAAGTCAAGCATGCATATATTTTCAGTTCTAAATGACCAAAATGAGGTCCACAATTGAAGGGAAACACATATGCACACACACACAGATTCATGCTATTGCAATACCCCCGCCTCCTTCTTCGGAGGAAGGTTAAAAATGAGTACAAATTATTGTTAAAACACAGTATTTTACTATGTAGTGCTAAGTGCGCAATTTTATAATTTAAAAAAATCTCTATATTATCAATTTCTTAGCACAGCCAAGTCCTATTAAAAGAGAATTGTTATTTTCCTTCATTTCAGTTTTTTCATGTCTTAATTTCTGTATGAAGATTGTTGAGCAAAAAAAGGTCCAGCTAACTTCCTAGCTTCTTTGTAACTGCATCAATAGTGCTGTGCAAAGATCCAGGAGGCAGAGTGTTGGGCTCTGTTTGGAAAACGATGCCATTAGCGATACTAAAATAAATCGATAAGGATAATTATACCTTCATTTGAGAAATACTAATTGTATATTTGGATATGTCAGGGATGATTTTGCCTGTATAATTGAGAATAGGACTGGATAGCTATTGGTGTACAGCATTCTGGCTTCCTTACATACATTAAATTGCCAATGTGGTGCGATCATACAATAAATGGTGATAAATTTTTCATATAACACTACAATATTGAGATGCAACATCTTCCTCCTTTCTATATTTCATTTATTCCTTTTACAATGTTTTTGCATGCCCTATAAATTTATAAATTTTATAATTATCACCTGAATAATGGTGATATGCCTGTCAGCTTATTTAAGCATTTTATGTTACACCTTATTTCAAAAGTGTGCTTGGCAAATCAACATCAAAGAGAGTAGGCAAATACTGAGGTCCAGCCAACAAGTGCTTTGGACATCCCAAGTGGCAAATATCAGGAGTCAGGCTTTCAGCACTGCTGGACAAAGGCTCTGAAATAAACTTCCTTAGAACATTAAACAATCACCTTCTCCTCACAGTTTTAGGTAACTACTCAAGATGAACATTTTGTTAATAATCTCTGTTTGGGAATGGTGCCATATAAATAAATACAGTAATGATTAATTGATTGATTGAAAAAATCATTTGTAATGCTTTTTTTATGAATGACAAATAAAAAAAATCACAATAAACATTTTAATACCTGTTGTTGATTACCTCAAGACTATAAATGGACACAATTAATGATGGCATCATCGTAAAGCCAAAGGATACTTTAGTTTAGATGTCGGAGAATCTTTCCTCATCAGTTCAAGTTGTTTTGTGGATTCCGCCACAGCATTTTGTAAACAGTACCTCTGGTCTTGGCTTAAGTAACATGAAATCTGAAAACCGAGAACAATTTCAAATTTGGTAGGTCCAACTAGAAAATGATGTTGTTCAATGCACTCAGTTTATCTCTGGGACTTTAGGCTCACCATAGCAATTAAAATAAAATTCCACATTGTTGCATACACTACATATAAAGTCTATGCTTTTGAGATTTTGCAAGAAAAATCGTATGGGATGGATTACTACACCTTATCTATGATGTGCAGTAGCTTGTGATAAAAGGTGGTTGTAATTTGTGACCAGGTGTCAGTACTACAGAACATTTGAATAAAGTCATCCAGGTGTCTGTTATTCACATTCCAAAACCTGCTACACACAAACTGAAACAAAGTGAATTCAATTTAATCATCTATTTATGTTTTATTTTAATTAAATGAAATTTGATTTATTAAAATTATATGTTTATAATAATATTGAACATTGGAACATCCGAATAATACAGTATTAGAATGTATGTATGTCGTCGGTTGACTTAGTAAAGAATAAACTTAGTCTTGAATGTTGTAGAACATTTATGCAACTGCACTTTATTTCTGACGATCAAAAGGAAATAATAAACCAAGAGAATACAAAACAGAAAAGAAACCCCTGCAAAGCTCGCATAATTCAGTAGCTGGCTTCATCCACAAACTCATATATATTTACTCAGCCTCATCAAACATCAGACTCGCAAAGGTCATAACTTAGGTTGAAGAGGTAACAAACTCTGACACAGGAGCTCTCTCCTAATGCACGTCTTGACTCGTTCAAGATTCACCGTCAACTCTTACATGTTAAAACAAGCGCGCTACGACCTCAGCACATAGAAGCTATCATAAAATGCTTCCGCAATAAACAATTATTTATGAGTTAACAGCAGAAATACAATGAAGTTTTTTAATCAGATTGTGAAGTGTTTAAAACAAAGATTCTGTTGCCGAATAAAATGTAGTTCCAAATAAATAATAAATAAAGATTACAAAACAATACAAAATTCAGTCTCTGACATCTATATTATTATTGGATGTGGTTATTATCACTGGAAAATATAGAAAACAACTAAGAAGTATTGGTTACCATATTGTAAAGCTGTACCACAGTTGGCGATATGAAGGATGATGATTGAATCTGCAGAAGAATACTCAAGAGGGCAGCATTCCAAGGCTGCTTCAGTAACATTTCACCTGAAGTCAAAATAAAGCATTTACAATAAAGTAATATTAAATAGAATGATAATAACTGATCACTTACAACAATTATTGAATAATTATTTAAAACTTAAAAACTTATATTCCTTATGTTTTATTATTTCACACTTTCAAACTTTTAAATAATTTCATATGGTATATAAAAATAAATTAGTATTATTAAAATTAATATGAAAGTATGTATACCTTGTAGTTGGTCCTTGTTGTGGACATATTCTAAGAGGGCTGTATAACAAGCAACAGCTGACAAACTTTCAGAACCAGAGTCCTAAGGATAAACATCAGATCAAAATAGCTATCAAATTTGTTTAAAAGATTAAACAGATGACAAATGTGAGGTCTCGCCACAAAATAAGTCTCATGGCTAGAAATTCAAAAATTGAGTTTATATTATATTTGGGTAGATCACATTATAAGCTTTCATTTGGTCTTAGAATGGCTTCCCTACTATAAGTAAATCCATAGATGTGAGCATTTAAAGTTTAGGTGTATAAGAACCACGTTTTGAGAAAATCAGTATCAAAGATAAACTAACCTGTACAAATAATATGACTAGAATTACAGAATATATGCATAGAACACTGTTTTGGCAAGAAAATTCACTTACATAGTATACAATCATAAAATATCAAGTTATTCAAAAACATTAAAATCAAAATTTTGTAAAAATGTTGACTTTGGCCTGTTTTGGTGAATATCTCAATATGATTTCACCAACGATGCGTCTCATTTTGTGGTGAGACCTCACAAATTGTCAATGTATTATAAATTTTGTCTCACATTATTGATTTTCCTGCCTCAGGCATAAAACGTTGCAGTGGCAGCACCAGTGTGGTCCAGGGGGACTAAAGACACCTGTCATGGGAACACTGTAGCCCCTACCAATGAAACAGTCAGTCATTTCATCAAAGGACACTGCTTACAAAATGCATTTTTACAGTGTGTGGTGACATTTCTAGGCATCCAAAGGTGCCTATTAAGAATTGATCCAGAGAGATAGATTTGGACGTCTTGTCAGAGACTTCTTGTCTTACCATCATAATCAGGTTTTGAAGATGGATGACCAAAAGTCTTAAATGGTCAGTTTTAATGTCCAGGTTTATATCGTGGTTCTGTAAGAGTTCTTGCCGTCTACTGCCCTCGCTCAGTTGAATCAAACTTGATGTTGCAAACTTTGTTTCAAAGATTGCTGTCCAAAACTTTAATGCAGCATCTTATCATAAAAGAAGGATGGATATGTTATTTTTTTTTTCTAAATATGTAATGATTATTCCTGCAATAGTAATGTTATTTAATCAAATCAAAATCTACATTCACTAATGAAAAATATATAAAATTAATATACATTTTCCCACTGAGTTCTTCCACAAGATATTGTAAAAATTAACAAAATTCTACAATTTTTCAATTAAGTTTTTAAATAATATTTTAACTACTAAAATTGTCAAATTTAAAAAAACTAGTGTAACATGTGTAATAATTCAGAGTCCATACTTTAGCAAATAATAATGAATGATACTTACAACGCTGAAACGATGGTTTATGGGTGCTAATGGAATTAATCAACCAGTTTACATCTACTGCAACAGGCACACACCCCTACAATATAATAAACATGTTAGCAGTAGTACTATAACAATAGTGAGTATAATAATTACACACTGATTGAGTAATCATGATAGTACAAATGGGTCTTGTTGTTATGACAACAGGCTAGTCATCTGGAGGTCATGGGTTACATTCTTTAACTGAATTATCACTAGCAACTGTTTCCACAAGTACTTAAGAATGTACTGAATATTTCATTTCATTATTTATTTTGTCAAACACAAAATAGGAAGGCCAGGGCCAACCAAAGGGAACTGAATCACTATGCTGGATGGCATCTCCACACGCAGATACAATATAAATATACATGCTGCATATCTGGCCATTAACAGAACTGGTCCATGGCACCCGGATTTTGGAAAAAACCCGGGTTATACATCCTGCTGGTTTGTTGAATAGCGAAGGTTTCTTAAATTATTTATTGCCACTGAAGCCCATGAGATGAAGTGAGTGATTGTAATGGGTTTCTTGTTTACAGTCCAATGGCTATATGTTGCTGGCCAGGACTCTCTTGTTAACTCCCAATGGGATTCTTAAAACCAATTAAAGTTAAGTTTATGGAGCTGCTAACAGCTCCCTCTGGACCATTTGACAACTCACTCTCAACTACCAGACAGCTCACTATATGAACCATTTCTGCTAACGGGGACTTTTGCCTCATGCAAAATTCACACAAAACAAAGAATCAAAATGAAATGAACTTTTCAAAGAAATGAAGATGGGCTCTCTAGTATGAGTCAGTATGATCCCATCCTTCCCTTACCCCTACAACCCCTTCTCCTGTGGTTACCCTGCCACATGTCCTTATCCTACACTTACTTTCATCTGATGTTGGTGTTGGAATTGAAGCAACGTAGCAAGTAAACTCAAGGTAGAGCATTGCAGGTGTTCACTGCCCAGAGTCTGGTAGTCCAATGGGTCACTGTCTTTCAATAAATTCTCCAACAGCTGTAATAATGGCTTGTTGGACAACACAACTGATAGGACTTCAGAAGTGAAAAGAAACCAAACATACTTATTTAGATAGAAGACATGGTTAGTACTTGATAAGTATTATATCCTGTAATTTGCAATAATAACTGTAAAGGCCAACTTTAGCTCGACACGATTTGATGTCACGTTTTCTATTAGTTAAATGCAGACGCAATGGTTTTGCATGGGGGGCATGCCGCGTCTTAGAATATTAAACATTTTTAATGTTTCTCATGGGGCATGAGACCGTCTCCGACAATAAATCACATCAGGTCGCGTCATGCAACATTTTCTGAGTTGACCTTAATTTTTCTGTAAGTTGCAAGTAATTTGCTGTTGTACATGAAATCAATAAAATAAAAAACAATTAGCCTGAGAGAATATAATCTATATCCTACAATTATTAGTATTTGTTTATATATTTATTCTGTCTATAAAGTGAAAGCACCTTCAGTGAAGTGCATTATATGAACGAAAAAATAAAAACAGAAATGTAAATCAGAAATAAAAATCAAATGAATAGTACAATTAAAAGAAAAAAATATAAAGCAAATATTAACAGATTTAATTTGGGATCAATTCAAGAGAATGTAGGTTTTGATGAAGTTTTTAAATGTTATCAATTGAAAATAGTTTAAAATTGGTTTGGAAGCTAGTTCATAGTTGCACAGTATGAAAATATTATTTTGCCTTGTACAAGCTACCATTTCTGCTCCATCTATGTGTTGTTTGATTTACTTCTAATACACCGAGAATAGCTATTTTGATTTAAAAGCAAATTTGCTGCACAGTATGGGACAATTCCTCAGCAACATAAACGTATAGGTGTTTTTTTCATTTGTCAGTCAACTTATTCCAATCCTAAGTTATTTCTTATGTCATCAATGAGAGTTATGATAGAAAAATTCTACCTAACCTATTTTGGAAAATATGGTGCTTATTTAACAAAATAAGTTACAGCACAGCTTTCGAATTTCAAACTAAATTGGGCTTAATGAGGACAGCAAGCATATTGCACATGTCAACACTCACCACTGGTATCTTGGTGATGCACTGTAGCAAACAGCAAGCAATGAAGAAAATTCAGAATCACCAATTTAGTGTCTGTTGTGCTTGTTGATTTTGTCAAAAGGTTGCTAACTGTGAAAAGGTAAAATATCATTAATTTTTTCTGGATTTTTTTGACAAATACATACATGCAGAACATCATGTTTTAACCATCTTATTACTACTATTTTTAATGGTATATTATTCTGTTAGTAGTATCAGTTTATGTTATATCATATATATATTAAGGTCTGTTTTCTCACTATCACATTTTGTGTGACAAATTTGTGAGATGTAGCGCATATATGATCATGATATCATTTTACACTCATAATCAGAGCTTAATAAAAATTAATAATTTTATTAATAAAATCCGAAATAATGGTTTTAAATACCATGATATACAAGTTTCAGATCAACTGGACATATGGAGTCTAGCGCCCTCAAGTTGATTTCCATTACCAACTTCAAGATGGCTGATATCTTCATTTCTGGAGTAAAAAAAATGATGTTTAGAAAAATAGTACAGTAAATGAATTAAGAAAAAAATTGCATTGCAGCTGTATAGTTGCTTAAAAAAATGAATGGAAGTTAATTCATTTTGAATGAAAATGAAGTACAGATTTTAATATTATACATACTATTAAAACAAAAAAGGAGAAAATGGATGCTGGGACATATTGTGAAGTGGGTCGGCTGAGTGAGATATCTTGATTGAAGAAGTATGTGGAGTATTAAGGTGAAAGTAGATATAGTTTATGTATTGCACTTATCAAATAAAGGAACAGTATAATAATGGTAGTGGTGACACCTCTGTCCACACTATCAAATTTGTGTGATGTGCCCATATATGGGCATGATGATGTTATATTACTCCCAAATATGGATATAAGAGTTAACTTGTGATACTACTAATGTATGCAATATACAACAATTGAAAAATCTTCATTTAGAAATTTTGGAAGAGGTATCTCACCTGCCGTTGTCTGGATTAGATCCTTTAGACACATCTCCTGCACCACTTGTGGAAGTCTTTCCTGCAACAGACGTGCCGTGTCAGAAGAGGAATCTGTTCCAGTTGCCTTGATACTGGCTTTAATAAGTGACAGACATCGGCTCAGCAATGCTTCATCTCCATCCATGATACCATACTAAACAAATAAATCAGAACTCCAATACTGAACCTATACTCACGCTATGCTTTTTACTTCAACATTTTGCAGGATATTATATACACTGAATATTAGTTATCAGTGCAAGTCAACTATTAATAGTAGTATCATTATAATTGTCATCATTCATTTTTCAACCCTTATAATTATTATCCTTCATCACTATTAGAATCACATTATATACCTCAAGCACTATATATCATCAAATAATATCTTAGTTAATAATAAGTGCTAAAGCCTTAATATAATAAAAATATTGCTAAAATAAATTTATTAGAAAATAGGACACACGCTAAAAAATACCCCTAACAATGAATGGAATAAGCTGGAGTGTGTCAGGATTATTACATGAAAATAGAAGCAGTTTAATGCAGAGGGGACTGTTTGGTTTGTGTGGGTTATACTCAATCTGCATTGCCTCTCTCTTACAGGTGGGGTTGCAGCAATGCTAATTTCTCCATGGCTCAAGCATGAGGACTCATTGATCTTCAGAAAAATGCTTTGAATATGAAAAGAAAGCGCTATATAAATAAAAAATATTAATAAAGCTAAATAATAATTTTAAATAAAATATCTTACTAAAATGTCTTCTACCAGTAAAGTTTTGGAAGCAGGATTATCAAGTTGAGGAATAGTGTTTGTAAACAATCTAGAGGCAAATCCACAACACTCATCTTTACTCCTGTTGCTGTCCAGATCTGTAACTCTGCCTTCATCTATGCCTCCACCACTTCCACATTCTGTATTTATCATATAACATTCCTCATCTGCATTTTCTCTAGGGGTCGACACTGATGGTATGTTTCGCAACCATTGCACAAACTGAATTTTAGAGTTGAGAAAAAAAGGAAATTACCTAATTACAAAATTTATGTTAAAGTTTTGAAGTCTTGTACATTGTAGTAGCTATCTTTACTATGAGTGGACGTTCATATATAAATTAATATGTATGTACAAAGAGTATAAATAGAACAAGTGAGTGCCCACTGAGGGTTGTAGGTACTTTTTATACCCAGTACAGCACGATCGAAGTACGCCCGCTATGAACTCAGTAAGCAGAAAACAAAAGTACTGTGTCTTTTGGAGAACAGATAAACAGACAAACAGACCGTGCGCAGTAAAGTACTGGGTAATAAAAAGTACCTACAAGCGTTAGTTGCTGTCCTAAACAAGCTGCGTAGGGCGTATCGTTTTTTACGCTCTCAATGAGCGTAGTTGGCTCTCTTTTTCTATTTATACTCTTTGGTATGTTACAGTAACTATAAAAGATAATGTATAATTAATATAAAAGTTTGTAATATGTAGCAATATTGAGGTATTATACTGCAGTATTTGTATAATGTAAATTTAATAGCACTGCGCAGCAACAGGTAATGACACTGCAAAACATTCATTTAGATCAGATACTACCAATGTTGTTTTGGATATATTTGTTTGTATGATATTTCATTTCTATTGTAACTTGTTCTTTATATCCTGTAGAAGGCACTCTCTAAAAAGATTATGTGAATAATAAAAGTGATGCAATAAGTGAGGTGAAAACTGTGTCAATAACAGATTATTGTCCAAGAGACGGATATGGGTAATTGTACAAGGGATGGTTTGATGTAGCATGTATACACTTAGAAGACAAAAGGAGAGCATATGTGGATAAATCAATGTACAGAGAAAGTGTTAAAGAGCAGTGGTATAAAGAAGATTTAAGACAAGAATTTATTTAGGTTCAATGCATCACAAGATGCCTCCATAAGATGCTTCCAGAGGAGAGCACTGATAGAATGATGATGTACTGCGAAAGTCTCTCCACATTCATGAACAAATTAAGAAACTCACAAATCCTCTCCTAATGTTCTGGGGTACATCATTTGCAGATTAAAAGCATATAAGAAGATCTAAAACAAGAATTTATTTAGGTCCAATGCATCCACAAGATGCCTCCACAAGATGCTTCCAGAGGAAGAACACAGATTTAATGATGATGTACTGCAAAAGTCTCTCCACATTCATGAACAAATTAAGATACTCACAAATCCTCTCCTAATGTTCTGGGGTACATCATGTGCAGAGTAAGCATAAAGAAGATCTAAAACAAGAATTTATTTAGGTCCAATGCATCCACAAGATGCCTCCACAAGATGCTTCCAGAGGAGAGCACTGATTGAGTGATGATGTACTGCGAAAGCCTCTCCACATTCATGAACAAATTAAGAAACTCACAAATCCTCTCCTAATGTTCTGGGGTACATCATTTGCAGAGTAAGCCCACTTGATGACAGATGGGTGGTCACTGTAAATGGCTGAAGCATCCGTCTTCTCAAGAACATGAATTAAAGATGATGGCGCTGAAAGAAGTAAATATGAATGATAATATTGATCACAATGCAATTTATGTCAGCAGACTAAAATAAAAATCTTTACATATTAAGTACTTATCACAATAACGATGATAACATCATAATTTATTTTGCTAAAACAAATATAAAATCATGATTCTGCTATTATATTAATCTATTATTTATTGCAACAGGTTTAAATACATATCATTGTTAAATTAAGGGAGAACGCACTGTTTTAGGACCAGAGGCATATCTAGGGGTGTACAGAGGGGAGGGGTGCAGGCCCTCCAATAATTACTTGCGTCCTCCCAGACGCTCCCTAAAAACCTGAACCCTCTTGCCTATAACATATTTACTGTTTTCATTGGTTAATTTTCTGTAACTCTTTCTGGAATATATGTTTGCAATATTGACATATTATTCATTCCTGATGATGATCTAATAAAGAATCGAAATATTGAATCACAATGACATGTCTTACTTTATCTAGAGTATGTTTTATATTAAGTTATTTAAAACTTACCAGTGGACCTAGTGGTTCATGTTGTAAATAGTTTTAAATAAATTGTCTGGAATTCTAATGATGATAACATTTTAACCTTTTAGCTGGCTTTTATTGTTTTTAAATTTTTGCTGTTTCCTCTGTGATTTTATCTTTTGTGTCTTGTTTTAACTTACATTTTAACTGTGAACAAACAAGAAGAATTTCAAACCATGTTCTCACTGTGTTTGACAATAAAAGTTGAATTGAATTGATTTGAATATAACAATAAAATTTATTTACTTTGCTCTCCTAAACTTGCATTGCTGTAGCAGTCAGCATACAAGTACATCAAATGTTTGAGACTGGTCGGGTCCAGATCACGTACAAGACAATTTGGACTGCTCAGGTAGAAATGCAGGCTCTCAAAAACTTCATTATCATTCACCAACCTGAATGCAATCAATCAATTGGATTGTAATTCAATCTAATGTTGCTTTATGATAATATTAATGTAAAACACACAAATAATTACTGTAGAAAATAATAAGTAATCATAAAAACATTTTTAAAGGAGTGAATTTTAAGTGACTGTAGCTTAAATATTTTGTGGAGAATTTAAAAAAAAAATGAATTTTTATACATACGGATCTCCATATACTGCAGCTAAGTACATGAAGGCTAGGCATGTAGACTGAAGATCAAGAATGGAAGAAGATAGATTGAACACCGACGACTGCTCTCGCATGAATCCACAAATATTGTATGCTGGGCCTAAAAAAAAAAAAAAAAAATTAATTATCAATATTAAGCTAAATAATTATCATTGCAAATTTTGAGACGTAGTCTAATATAAGGTTTTACAATTGTATGTTAAGTATATTTCAAAATATTGATCTAAATTGTGACTGCAATTATTTTGTATAAGGTCTGTCCACACTAAAAATAATTATATAATAAAGTTTTAATTTGTGTGATGTGTACATACATTATATGGGCATGATGATATCTTACTACAGTACAATCAAGTATGGGCATAATATTGCATGTATTTGTCACATAAATGTCCCAGCGCAGCTGCAGACAGAGCTTTTTACCGTCTCAGAATTTGTACAGAATACAAATTACGGTTATTGTTTAACAGAACATTGAGTTTTGCTGTCCGTGTTAAATATTAGGTTTCAAAAGATACTTACAACTGATGTCTTTAAGTGCAGACTGCATTCTAGGTAGGCAGGTCTTGTCATCATCTGAGAGCAGATGTTGACAAAGATTCAGCAGGAATGAGTCAACATGTTCCCTGACATCACAGTTGTCTTGATGACTGCAAAACTTAGACTTCACATCCAAGGA